TCGAATTAAATTCAATGGATTACTTTTCATTTAATATCCTGCTCATTTAAAGGTTTTTTGCTAAGGTGTTAGATCACTGTAGATCAGTTAGACATCATCAGCTATATCTACTAGCTTTTCCTAAAGGATTAGAGCTACGACAAGCTGATGAACAAGAATACACACTTCACTCTAAATGAACTGATAACATCTCAAAGTATGTTTATTTGTAGTGCTACTATAGTCATTATTCCATGTGTCCATGCTTATAAAATTTTCTGACAAATAATTTCTTGAAAAAGAGGCCAATGCAGTGATTTTGCCATAGTCCGCTAAAGCTTAGCAGAGGTGAGAGCCTTGGAAACCACCTCAACGGCCTATAAGAAGTAGGTTGAGAAGTTGACTCAGTTGAGTTAGAGGCAACTACCTACAAGGAGGAATATGAAGTGGAAAAGGATGATTCGTTGATAAAGAAGAAAATTAGGCCTAGTAGGGAAATCACCTTCAGTGCCTTCAATGGCTAGACTTCCACCTCCTCCCTCTATCCGGAGTGGTCATAGGATGGTGTCCAGTAGTGCCATTAGGGATGATTGTCCATGTTACAACCTATTCTAATAAGTCACAAATCAAAGGTTGACTTGTCAAAGTCTAAGTCAAATAAGAACTAAAATGAAGCAAATCATTTTATTGGGACATTAATTGACCAAATTATTTTATTGGGTTTATTTTATTATGAAAAATATTTGAAGGTTTTAGATGGATAAAATTAAAGTTTGGGGATCTACTTATATATTGTTGGAAGTTGAGAATTTAATGTTTTATTATAGAAATGTTGGAGGACTTTCTTTGCAAAATGTTGGTAAGTGAGCCACAAGCGGCAAATGATAACCCATTTAACAATTAAAACACACACACACACACACACTCTAACTAGGGAGAGAAGAATCGAGAAAGAGGGAAAAAAAGGAAAGAAGAGAAGAAGAAAAAGAAGATGAAAAGAAAAAGAAGAAGTAGGCTTTCAATTCTTGGGTGCTCCATTTCTTCAATTTTTCATTTGATTTAGAGAGGTAAGTGTAAGTTTACTAAATTAAGCCTCTGTTTGGCTCCCTTTAAAACTCTTCAATTTAATTTAAAATTTTCTCTTTTATTTTTAACCACACAATTTTCAATAAAATAATATTACATACAAATCGAAAACTTTTCATTCTTTTACAACCACTCATTTTTCAAAAAAAAAAAAAAACACTATTCCCCCCATTATAAACCCAAATAATGGGGGCCAAATGGGGGCTAAGTTTTCTTTTAGAGTTTATGGAAAATTTGGTTATATTTGAAGTTAGCTAGAATTAGATGTTATTGACACTTATTTGAGGTATTAGACATGAATATGTTAAAGAAATATACATTGAATGATTGGTGTTGAAAAAAAAAATGAAGAAGAAGAAAGAAAAGAAAAGGGGGGAAATTTGGAAAATGGGTTTATGAAATGGATACTTATTCTTTGATTTTCTTGGGATTATATGATGTTAATCATTTAAATTAAGGAATTGGAATTGATTTCTCCATTTTTAAGTAATAATTATAAGCAATTTTTGGACAAATCCTACACAAGTGCTGTTTTTTAAATCTTGTCCAGAAAAGTGCTTGTTTTGTCATGTTTTCGATGACAGATTTCAATATATAGACATTGGTACTAGTTTTCAATATTCTGGAATTAAAGTGCTAGTTTTGTCAATCATCTAATTTTCATGGATTTTTAGTATTGGAACCAAAGCGTTGAATATTTGGAGTTTTGGTGTTAAAATAATTTATATTATATGTTGTCAGTGACCTTAATTGGGATTATGAGGTTGAAAATAAAGTGTAGAAGTTCCCGTCGGTAAATTAATATTTTAAATGGTAGGAAAATAATCAAGGCATTGTAAGTGGATATGATTTACTAGAGCGAGTGCGTAATATCATACTTGATATTTGAAGTTGAAGAGGTGACGAGAAGATTGAAACCATGATCGACTATGACTTGGTCGGTGGACACAAATTTATTTTTCAGAAATTAGTATTTATTAAATTTATATTATATTAGAAAATTTATTATTTCATTTAGTTGATTTGACAATATGAATTTTAGAATAAAGTAGTGATAAGAGTGTAAAATACCATATTTTTTCCTCTTAATTATTGCATTCATGTGATTATATTATGCCAAAATGCACTCATTACTCTCATGTTTTTGTTTAGGTTGCATTTTGGTGAAAATGGTGAAATTTGGAAGAAACAAATGAAAAAGGACCAAAGTGAGAAGAAGTGAAAGTTCAGGGACCAAGTTACAAATAATTCATAGATGAGACGGGCGATAAAATGATGATTTGAGAAATTTAGGAGTCCATTGGTGCAATTAGAAGTCAAAAGAAGTTAAATAAGCCTATAATATTTTCACAAATCAAATTCCAACCGGATATAAGAATTTTCAGATTTTGAGCCGAAAATTGAGATCAACGTTTGACCTAGTAAACGTCCGGATTTGGAAAGAGATATTTCTATCAAATTGTAGTACTTTGAGTTAGCTTTCCAATGAAACTTGAATCATCTCAATTAGACATCGGGAGGGGAAGTTATGACCAAAATATTGAAAGCGGTCGCACAGAAAATTTTGGCCTAAAATTTACTTTCCTTATTCGGTTCAACCTCTTGTGGAAACGCGTTTTGCACACGGTTTTAATCCCAAAAATGTCCCAGAACGCCTCCATTCAGCCTCGTACACTTTTCTCTCATCCTTGGCACAAGAAACTCCATGAAGAACTAAAATCTTTGGTGAAGTCAAGAAGGATCTCGATTGGATTTGGTGATTTCAATATCTTTTCTTTCATATAATGTGATTTTTATTGTCAAATAACTCTGGAATTTAGATTTCTTCTTTATTATTATACTTTTGATGTTTGTTTAACTTTTATTAAATTGTTCATGGATTCAATTATGTTTTTTCTATTGAATGACTAAAATATTAGTTGAATTTAAATTTTAATTGAATTATTGACGTGATTTGATTACTGCTCTATGCTTAAAGTATATTGCGGCTTCTTGAATCTTGTTTCAATAAATAAATGCAGAATATGTTGTTAGGAATTCTAAATTCCAGGATTGCAATTGAAATTAAATAAATATAGGTTTCCCTTTTTGAATTGGTAATTGAAATTGGTTCAATTCTTATTAGATTTTTCATAGAATTAGCCATGCTCATCGTTTGATCGAAATATTTATTGAGTTTCAATTTCATGTATGTCGTTGATGGATTATTTACTTCCGTATGCTTGATGTATATGGACGCTTCTTAATCTGATTTCAATCAACTAAAATAGGAATATGTAATAGGAACCATGATTTTAGAGTAAAATGTATGCTCGATTAATGTTGATTGATCCAATCCGAGAGAGTGAATTCCAGTGCTTCACTATTTTGAATATTGATATTTAAATCCCACTTCAAATTGAAAACTCACTTCACAAAATCATGAAAACCCCAGTTTGTTTGATCCTTTAAACCATTTTCCATCTCCCTGTGGATACGACACCTCAAAATTTTGCTACAATCACCACGTTATACTTTGGACGTAATCAAATTTTGCGCCGTAATTAAGGGATCAACTGAAAAGGGTGACATCGTTCCTTTCCCTTCATTTTTATTCGATTTAATTTTTTTAGTGTTATTTTTATTTTGTTTTCACACATTTTCTTTGTTTTTTGTGTTTGATGAGCAGGGATTGAGGTGATCAAGGGAGTTCTACCGGAGCACCTTATCCAGTGTTTGAATCTCGATATAACCCTTACTTTGCTACTGCATCAATTGCCACAAACACCTCTACACATAACGCTATGTCTAATAGTGAACACGACGATGCACCTTATAGGACTTTGCATGATTATTTGCACCCCACCGCAAATCCACACTATCATGCATAATGTTTCCGCCTATTATGCAAAGTATGGAATTAAAACCTAGAATGATTCAACTTCTTCCCATTATTCATGGACTTGACAGTGAAAATCCATATGTGCATATCAGGGGATTTGAGGAGGTAGTTGCGACCTTTCACAATCAACATGGTACAACGGATGCAGTCAGGTTAAAATTTTTCCCATTTTCACTTAAAGAGAGAGCAAAGACCTTGCTATATTCGTTGACCCCACGTTCAATTGGTACATGGGCTGAAATGACGCAAGCATTTTTTAATAAATACTTTCCTCACCATAAGACTAGTGCCCTTAAGAAGCAAATCTCATCTTTCACCCAAAAGGATAGTGAGACCCTATATCAGGCCCGGGAGAGATTTAAAGAACTACAAGCCCTTTGTCCTCACCATGGTTATGAGAGCTGGCGTATAGTTAGTTACCTTTATGAGGGATTAACACCTACGGAGCGTCAATTCGTAGAGATGATGTGTCACGTTGATTTCCTACAAAAGGATCCGGATGAGGCCATAGAGTATCTAGATGATCTTGCTGAGAAAGCTCATGGACTGGACCTAGCCTTACTGATAGTACCAATAGGTCACGACCTACAGGACACTCCACTAGTACAGGTATCTATCAACTTAGGGAAGAAGATAGTCTTGGCCAAAGTGGAAGCCCTCACTAAGGAACTTGAGACCTTGCGTGCTAAAGGCTCTAAATCTGCACAACCTGTTTCTCGTATTGAGTCTTTAGAGCCTTGTTTTGTGTGTGGAGGGAGTGATCACCTACCACAAGATTGTGCGACTTATGCTGAGATGAGGGACTTTATGAGGAACATTGTAATGTCTTAGGCATATATCAAAAGCCCCATACTCCCTACTCCGAAACCTATCATTCAGGGTGGCGGAGTCACCCCAATCTTAGCTGAAAATCTGAACATCAGCAACCCGCCCAATCCAATAGAGCCTACACTACACCTCCATATCAAACCACATCCTCTAGAAACTCTTTGGAAGGCACCCTATATGCATGCTCATAGAGGCACAAAGTAAAACCAATTAGAATTTTGAGACTATGATTACCCAAATTGTTGAGGAAATCAAGGAAATCAAAACTCATATGTCCAAATTAACCAATGCTTTAACTGTAGTTGAGCGGGAAAAATTTCCAGCACAAGCTCAACGAAACCCTAGAGGACAACATATGGCACAAACCTCAGGCTCAAGAGAAAACAACCTTAAGGAATTTAATGCCATAACCACTCGGTCTGGTAAGGTTATTGAACCAACCTCCAAATCTAATGAATATGAAAAGGACCCTAGCAATTTAGAAGAGAGTACCCTTAGCGAGGAGGTAGTGAAAAATCCACCGCGAGTACCCTTTCCTCAAGCTCTTAAAGCCACCGCGAAATCTATTGGTCAACATAGTGAAATCTTAGAGCACCTTAAACAAGTAAAGATCAATTTACCTCTTTTACATATGATCTCCCAGGTTCCCACATATGCTAAAGTCCTAAAAGACTTGTGCACTATAAAGAGAAAACACCATGTCAAGAAAACTGCTTTCTTGACTGAGCATGTAAGCGCTGTAATTGAGCAAAGGATCCCTCGAAAGTATAAGGACCCTGGTTGTCCTACCGTCTCTTGTGTTATTGGGAATCATTAGATTTCACAAGTCCTTCTTGACCTAGGGGCTAGTGTTAACATCATGCCTTACTCTATTTACTTGTCATTAGGCCTAGGAGAAATAAAACCTACATCCGTAAGTTTACAATTGGCTGATCGATCCACAATACGACCAAGGGGTGTAGTTGAGGATGTGCTAGTACAAATTGATAAATTTTGTTACCCCGTTGATTTCTTGGAGGATTTAAAAGAGGATGTGAATGTTAACTCCAATATTTCCATTATTCTAGGTAGCCTTTTTCTTGCCACAGCTAATGCTCTTATCAATTGCAGGAATGGTCTAATGAAACTATCATTTGGGAACATGACCCTGGACGTCAACATCTTTCACATCGTGAAGCAACCTGAGGAAAATGATGAGTGTCATAGTTATACATGATTGATGCACTCATTGAGGAGGAAGCACATGTGCTTATTGACTCCGACCCTTTAAATTCTTTCCTTTTAAATTCTGAAATTCCTACAGGGTATGATAATGGGGAATATGCTGACATTTGTGCTGCTTTTGATGATTATCAGGATTATGGGACACTACAAGTGACCACTTCCAATGAGTTTGGTGAAATACGACAAAGGTTGACAATACCATGGCTGGATGCGGGCTAAAGAAACAAACATTTGGTCGAGCCAACGATAATAAACAAATGCGCTGCTTGGAAGGCAACCCAAGGGGAGTTCATTCCTTTCTCTTCCTTTCTATTTTTATTTTTGCATTTTTAGGTTTTTTTTCATTCCATGCATTCATCACTAATTAAGAACTTTTAGGCTTCTAACACTTCAAGTTTAGGTGATTCACTTCGATATTAAGGTGATATCTTTCTTTACTTTTATTTGGCAGACATGTTTTTGCATTGAGGACAATGCAATGTTTAGTTGGGGGGAGAGAGTTTAACTTAAATTTTGTTGTGAATTGCATGTTTTTCATGGAATTTTGGCCTATTTTTTTTTTAAGTCCCTAATCCGCTACATGTTCTTGAATGACAATATATGCCTGTAGGAATTAATATTGTTTATGAAAGTTTGGATATTGAGACATTTGCTGAATCCTTTTGCGCACACAAGCCTTGTGGTAAGATGAAAGTGTAACACATGTAATTAGAGGAGTCTCTTGTTGAAGTTCTCTTATGTGAGAATTGGTGAGGATTGAGAGCCACAATATACTAAAAATGTAAGATGGTGGTTTATACTTGGAAAATGAAAACAGTCAATTTAGGATTGAATTTGAGCATTCAGACTAGTTCTTTTCCATAATTATAATCCCTTAGTAGCCACTTTGAGCCAATACACATACATAACCATTTCTTTCACGTGCCTAAGTTATCCATATCTCCTTACATTGGAATAAAGTCTATAAATATTCAATTTTCTACATTTATACTTCCAAGTGTATAGTAGGTGTTAAATGTCCATTTGAGAAGAAAAGTTGTTGATAAGAGATGATAAGTGCTCGGGGGAGACGAAAAAAACACAAAAGGAAAGGGAATTTGAAAAAAAAAAAAAAAAGCAAACAAACAAAAGAAAAGAAGAAGAAAAAAAAAGAAATGAAAAAAAAAAGGGATGGATTGTTGTTGGAAATTGAAAGATTGAGGAATACGTTGTGATGTAAAGGATTGATATGTTGAAATACTTGTTGAGATGCCTAGCTAGATACTTGGAAGTCCTTAAATTCTTTTCGCCCTACTTTTCATATAACCCAATTTAACCCTTTTAACACCCTTTACATTGGCTGTTTTGATCTCAAGTAGGTTTGTGGTAAGAAGTTGATGGATTTTCATTTGAAAGTATCCTTATCATGTGATCAATGTTTACTTGTTGCTTGTTCATAAATATTTAAGCCTCTATGTTCTGAGTGTGCATCTTTCCCAGCTCCATAGAGAGAAACACCACACTAAACACTTTAATACCCGTGAGTTATGGGGCAGGACCTTTAGCTAGAGACACACTCGATGTTGCATGTGTTAGGGTTGGCGGTAAGATGGCTATGGCTAGACACACATTCACACATTTAGCAAATGTTTTTGATATCTTGGTAATCATAACATTGTTAATTTCTTGTAGTGTTGAGTTTGAAAAGATAATAAACTGCGCAGGTGAATTAGAACTCAACAACTTCACTTGTAATTTGGATCAGTCACTCATTTGTTTTGTTTTGCATTGAATTGTTAGGGACTAGCAATAAGCAAGTTTGGGGGTGTGATAAGAGTGTAAAATACCATATTTTCCCTCTTAATTATTGCATTCATGTGATTATATTATGCCAAAATGCACTCATTACTCTTATGTTTCGATTTAGGTTGCATTTTGGTGAAAATGGTGAAATTTGGAAGAAACATATGAAAAAGGACCAAAGCGATAAGTGAAAGTTCAGGGACCAAGTTGCAAATAATTCATAGATGAGAGGGGTGATGGAATGATGATTTGAGAAATTTAGGAGTCCATTGGTGCAATTAGAAGTTAAAAGAAGTTAAATATGTCTATAATATTTTCACAAATCAAATTCCAACCGGATATAAGGATTTTTAGATTTTGAGCCGAAGATTGAGATCAACATTTGACCTAGTAAACGTCCAAATTTGGAAAGAAATATTTATCAAGATTGTAGTACTTTGAGTTCGCTTTCCAATGAAACTTGAATCACATCAATCAGATGTCGGGAGAGGAAGTTATGACCAAAATACTGAAAGTAGTCGCACAGAAAATTTTGGCCAAAAATTTACTTTCCTTATTCGGTTCAACCTCTTGTGGAAACGCGTTTTGCACTTGGTTTTTAACCCCAAAAACATCCCAGAACGCCTCCATTCAGCCTCGTACACTTTTCTCTCATCCTTGGTACAAGAAACTCCATGAAGAACTAAAATCTTTGGTGAAGCCAAGAAGGATCTCGATCGGATTTGGTGATTTCAATATCTTTTCTTTCATGTAATGTGATTTTTATTGTCGAATAACTCTGGGATTTAGATTTCTTCTTTATTATTATACTTTTGATGTTTCTTTAACTTTTATTAAATTGTTCATTGATTCAATTATGTTTTTTTCCATTGAATGACTAAAATATTGGTTGAATTTAAATTTCAATTGAATTATTGACGTGATTTGATTACTGCTCTATGCTTAAGGTATATTGTGGCTTCTTGAATCTTGTTTCAATAAATAAATGCAAAATATGTTGTTAGGAATTCTAAATTCCAGGATTGCAAGTGAAATTAAATAAATATAGGTTTCCCTTTTTGAATTAGTAATTGAAATTGGTTCAATTCTTATTAGATTTTTTATAGAATTAGTCACACTCTTTCTATCATTTGATTGAAATATTTATTGAGTTTCAATTTCATGTATGTCGTTGATGGATTATTTACTTCCGTATGCTTGATGTATATGGAAGCTTCTTAATTTGATTTCAATAGACTAAAGTAGGAATATGTTATAGGAACCTTGATTTTAGAGTAAAAATGTATGGATGATTAATGTTGATTGATCCAATCCGAAAGAGTGAATTCCAGTGCTCCACTATTTTGAATATTGATATTTAAATCCCACTTCAAATTGAAAACTCACTTCACAAAATCACGAAACCCCCAATTTATTTGATCCTTTAAACCATTTTTCATCTCCCTGTGGATATGACATCCCAAAGCTGTATGTAAAATCACCGCGTTATATTTTGGGCGTAATCAAGTAAATTTTATAATTTCTTTTAAAGTTAAATTCAATTTAGTTAAATCATTTGATTAGCAAGTTATATGTTTATTAAATATTTCAGCATAATTAAAGTATTTTTAAAACCATCAGAAAGTACCCACGTGATTTTACCCTAGTCTGCACTAGTGTGAATGTGTTTCCACGATTAATGATTAATTATGGTTTTTATTCGCTTTGCATTATTGTGAATATGTTTTCATAGTGTATGATCAAATTATCAAAGGTCTTTAGGCCCCACTCTCGTACACACATAGGATTTGGACCGTGTACTAAGGTGATTAGCCTTTAAGACACTTCTACGTACGTATGACCAGATTATCAGATTAGCAGATTATCATATTCGGCTTTGCCTTGTACATTGAGATTACACAAACATGAGTAAGGTTATTCATTGGGTACCTTTTTGGTGTGATTTTCAGCATTATACAACTTTTCAGATTTAAGACTGCAGAAATTAGCTTATTCGGTTTGTAGAGTAATGCTATGAAAGAATATTTTCAATTATATTTACTGTTATCAAATTATTTATATTCATTATATCTTACAGTTGCTTATCTAAAATGAAGAACAAAGAAGTTTATGACGCATTCATGCTTGGTTTTAAAAGTCTTACTAGTTTGCAGAATTTTTCAAAGTTTTAATAGAGCAAGAATTTTCAGAAGATATGCATAAATGAGAAAAATTTACTTATTTGCAAATTATCCACTCACTGAGCTTCAAGCTCATATATTTTTTTTTACCTTTTTCTTTATCAGATAGAAAGCAAACGAATTGAGCAACTTTGTAGCCTGTCGAACCATCGAATTAAGCCACGCGTCATAGGTTGTATGACATCCTTTATCAGATTATACATTATGTGTTCTTTTGGGATACACGTAGCTTAAATAAAAAAAGTTCATTATGGGCTCATTAGATATTTGGTATCTTTTGTATATTTGAGAATTGTTGGTTGTAAAGCAAATAAATATTGATTTACCAGCATTTTATTTGAATCATTTGTATTTTGAGGAACTAGCGTACCCTGATTTATATTATAGGTACTGATTTGAGGAAAATTGTTAATTGTTCCAGTGATTTTAGTTCTATTTCAGGGAAAACTCTGTCAAAATTCTGTTAAAAATATTTTTTAGTAAAGCAAGTCAAAGTTTCCTTGATAGTGGGTTTGGGTTTAGCTGGTATCTACCATCGGTGCACGACACGTGTCGAGTCTATTAAGGTGATTCAGGACGGGTCGTGTCAGTCCAGGTCACTCACAAATTCTAAATCGACAAGTTGCGAGATCACGATGCCTCTAGTGAGGCTAAGGATCACTTGTGCTTTATGTATGGGCAAAACGACAAAAGACTTAGTCCGGAACCTTTATAAAAAGAATAATATATTGAGCTTCAGACTGGAGGTTTTGGAGAGCCTAGAACTTGGGTGTACAAGAACTTGTCTAAGAAGGCTATGGTGTTACTATTTGTACACGTGTACAAGAACTTGTCTAAGTGCATGTCAGTGTAATCGGGATCTATTAGTTAAATTAACTGTACAAAAATCGAAGTTAAGTTACCTATATGAAGATCCTTATTTATTGGGAGTTAAGTGTTGAAGTTAATTACAAATTCAAAGGAATGTTGTATGTTACTTGACATTTTTAGGCAGTGTCAATTTTTTTTGTCAACCGGTACTACTTGAACG